TGCAGATTCGAGAAAACTAAAAACGCAGAATCATAGAGAATGACCATATCTATCAGATTGCTGAGTCTGGATCAGATCAGAAAATTTTTATAGCCAACAGGAACAAATCAATTTGCATTGGCTACGCAGCGCGCGACGTCACGCACAGACTGATTTTCTGTCTCTCTCGCACGCACTCTTTGTCGTGTCGTTTTTTATTAGCGGCGTCTGCCGGAGGAGAGCCATACTGACTTAGTATCGGGTATAACTGTAGAGTTGCGGTGTCCGCAGCAACTCACAACGTTCCCCCTCGTTATTGCTCGTTTTATATAATCTTCTTTAACATGCCTCTATTTCTTTTTACAGACTCCTACTATATCACATTGAACCAAGTGATTTGTGTTAGGCCCCTTTAAATCGCGAAATTGTATGGAATACATAATTCTGAAATTCTGGTACCTCGCATTCGCAAATGAAATTTTTAGCGATGAAAAAAATTTAATTTGGGCCGTATTCAGATGGCCATCATAAATATTGGAGAGTTGCGCGTCATCCACGGGCAACTTGTTACATGCACATGTAGTGCACATATTATTATTTACCTAAGGTATAAGAAAACGATTCCAATTGCATTCGGATAATTATTGCGTCTGAATCAAAAAATACGTTCGCCAGAATTGTCGACTAAAGTAAACCAAACCATAGCTAATTACCATTTTTTTTATAACGTAGCGATTCTATGATTGTATATTGATATATGTACATGTAAGTAGTTTATACTTATATATACAAATACATAAATGTATGTATGTATATATAAATGCAGATAAAACACATTTAATTCTATCAAATTATACATTTGAATTTGTATGTATGTACGCTTATTTGTCTAAAAATAAAAAAGTAAAAAAAATATAAAATTTCAGCCCGATTTGACAGAGGTGCCGACTTGAGGTCAAAGTGGAAAAAACACGATATTTTTCCAATGGTTCCTATGACAGCTATATTATATCTATATTATCTATTTTAGTTCGATTGGTTAACACTGAACCCCACAAAAAATAGTCAACAGTCAACTTTTATATTAAATTAACAATTTTTATTAATCAATGAATGTTGAATAGCATATTCCTTTCCAACGTTTAGCAACTTCTGAAAATCATCTTGTTTTTATATCCAAAACTCAAAAGGAGTATAAGGATATACTACATTTCTGGGAAAAGTGGATATGTGTAACGTCCAGAAGGAAGCGTTTCCGACCCCATAAAGTAGATTTGTTCTTGATCAGCATTAATAGCTGAGTCGATTGAGCTATGTCTGTCTGTTCGTCCCTATGAGCGCCTAGTTCTCAGAGACTATAAGCAATCAAATTTGGTATGAGTAAGCGCGAGAGTGGTGACTCTACAATTTCATATGTTTCTTTTAGGAATAATAATGATACGATTAAAATCAATCTGGTTCATATGGTAATTTTCTATGATTGTGTGTTCGGTTCTCGTATCTTCAAAAATGTGGATGCCCAGATTTTCGCCTTTTCAAACATGCGAAAGTCGATTGTAATGATATTTTTAAGAAATGAGATAAATTTAATTTCATTCATTTCATCATTTTTATAAAGCTCTACTCAATATTTGGATTGTATTGAGAAGCGTTTTATAAAAAAATATAACTTATGACAAAACTTGAACTTGACTAAATATTAACAAATTGAAAGAAAAAAAAACGAACTGAAACGTGAGTTGCTGCGGCGACCGCAACTCTACATTTATACCCGATACATAGTCAGTATGGCTACATTGCGTGCGGAAGAGACAGAAAACGTGTCTGAACATGTTGTCGGGTGCTGCGTAGCAACTGCAAATTAATTTGTTCCTTTTAGCTATATAATGATCCGATCTGGGGCGAAATTATGAAATATACGTTTTATAGTGAAATCTAACAGGAGTGTGGATAACAAATTTGGTTACTCTAGCCTTAATAGTCTCTGAGATTTGTGGATGCCCCAGATTTTCGTCCTTTGCTGGGGCGGAAGGGGGTGTGGCATCCACATTTGTAAAGATACGAGAAAACCATAATACGCAGAATAGTAGAGAATGATTATATCTTCTAGACTGCAGAATCTGAAGCAGATCGTATTATTATATAGCGATTATTATAGCCAGAATGAAGAAAAAAATTCATTCATTCATCATTCTTTCTCGCTCTGTCTCTCTCTAAAACACACGTTTCATGGTCGGCTTTGCCTACAGCTAAAAATGAGCGCCTAAATCTATGAGATTATAAGAGCTAGAGTAACCCAAAATTTGTATCCACACTCCTGTGATATGGGACCTGCACAAGTGTATTTCTAAATGTCGCCGTACCATCCACAATTTTGAAGAAAATTAAATACGCAAAATCATAGAAAATGACTATATCTACCAGATTACCGAATCGGAATCAGAACAAATCAATTCGCAGGGGCTACGCAAATCTAGCTACGCACTTACTCGTTCTCTCTCTCTCTCTCTGTTACACACTGTTCGTCATGCAATGTGTGTGTCCTCTGGCGGCGGAGATCCATACTGACTAAGTATCAGTTATGAATGTAGAGTTGCGGCCGTAGCAGCAACTCACAACTCCCTGTCATTTGGTTAGTATTTGGTTATAGTTCATAAGTTCAGCTGTATCAAAAACGAATTTTAAATGTGCTAATATTTTAAGAACATTTCATAAATCGTCTCTAACAACTAAACATAATCAATACGCACATGATGTTTTCTCAATTTCATTTGACAGAAGTTAATTTTTGCATTTCTTCTGTCATTTAAATTTGTTGCAACGTACAGATCAGTTAAACAAAACTTGGTTTGTTCATGACTCAAACGCTGCCCGCAAATATATTTCACCCACTACATCAATTCGATATTTTAATACACAGAACGAATTGCACATTAGTATGAAAAGTTCGATGTTAACTATTTATTGTTGGCTTAAATATTAACCAATCGAGCTGCAATTTTAGGGCGATATATAATAGAGCTGCCAAAGGAACCATTGGCCTAATATCGTATTTTTGAACTTTGACCTTAAGTCAGCACCTGTAAACGTCGAATCGGGCTAAAACTGCATAACTTTTATAAATAAACGCAACCCTAATGTATGTAGTAGAGCCCTGCCTGTATCCATTGTAAGCTCCAAATTACATGTATTACTATAGTCAGCTCTTTACGATGCGTTTTAATAATACCAATCTTTAGACTTGGACGGTTCGTTCCTATTCACTCAAATGTGGTATCTGGAACTGCGGATCTAAATGAAAATTTTCTTTGGGTATTTGCATTATTCCAAATTTTTTGTTTATTTCGCATTTATTTTCGCACGTTGCTCAGGCGGTGTATTTATAGGGCTCATAAGCACAGCAACAAAGATGAACACACACAAATATAAAGTTATTTCATTTAAAAGAAATTAACTAACAATTTTTGTAATGCTCTCTTGTTCTTATTACAAGAAAAATACAAACGAAAAACAGAGATCCAAGCGAATCGAAACAAATTCTGAAGTCCTGGGAATTCCCGCAATGACTGAACCAATAAAGCATCGAAATCATACTGCGTAACTTTTTTCGTACATACATACATATATTGTGTATTATTTCCAAGCCTCTTATGTGAGCGTCTGGATGTCGTGAATTTCACTATTTATGTGTTAAATACAGTATAATTATAAGGTTATTATATAGTTTATATAAAGTAGGAGGGCATATGTGCTGGTTGTGGGCACGCTCTAGTAGTGGGCACCCCTACGCAAGCTTGGACAGCAAGCGGGCGCTACAGATCTGATTAGTGGGAATTAACGGTGCCCAGCTTTCGCGCTGATAACGAAACAAATATATGAATTTTTCTAATAAAGAAAAAAGTGGCTTAAATTGTTTTTGAAGATCAATTTTTCAACCAAGGCGAGTGTTTCACTTTGTTTCCAGTGTTTCATTTCATTTTGTGATTTGACGTCGTGCTTAACCAAAATTTACGAATCACGTTATTAAATTTATGTTAACGTAAAGTATTTTATCACTGTTTTTATTCATTTTACGTGATATTAGCCAAGTTAACAATGGAAAAATCATTTAATAAATGTGAAAGCGTGTCATATTTGTTGTTATTTATACCAGTTAAGGCTATTAAAATAATTAATTTTTTTTTTCTTTATTTGCGGTAGTTTTCTTTCATATTTTTTATTTTTTAGCGGAGGCCCACAGACGAGTGCAATATTTCCTCTTTCAAAAAATGTTTACTTCACTAATATATTGATACAATTTTACCATTTGAAGGTATTAATTTATTTCCTTCACTGACAGTTACCTAAGACCTATAGCTTTAATTCGCCCACTTATGTTTGTATAATATGCACTTGGTTTTGACAAAAACGGCGCCCACAACCGGCACACTTCCCCTTTACATTTATATATACATTTATAAGTATGTATGGAAATATATTTGTATATATATGGTTCAATTAGACCCCGGACTTGTAGTATAAATATTTCAAGAAAATTGTTAAATTCAAAGAAAGTACAACTTTTAATGGAATTTTTCGTGTTAAACCGATATTTTGGTGGATAAAATCGTGGTCATAAGGGCAGTTTCCGAAAAATAAATCTTTTTTTTTTTAAATCGAAAGAAAAAAATTAAAAAGGGTGGCTGTAGTGTCCGGTGATCTATTGAAATATATAAATATGTTAAATTATACACATATACATATAAATACATATACTCTCTACACATGTATACAATATAATTTTATTAGTTTATATAAATAGATATATATATTAATATACTTTAGAATATTAGCAATTTTATAACTTTAGAATTCTACTATGTTTCTATTACATATATATTTAGAAAATATCTGTCTATATATATATTTTTTATATGCGTTTATATATTTTGAATATAATTAATTTGTGGCAATTTTTTAGTAGCCAAAAATTTATAGATTTTTAACGGCAAATTTTAAACCATAAATAAAATTATTTAGCGTTTAAAGAGTGCGAAACAAAACACTTTATTTTAAATTTAATCTTCCTTAGAAAGACTTCCCAAGTCACTGAGAAAGATTTCAGGAGAAAGAACGTGCGATGATCCGACCAGCACCTCCCAGTTACGCACAGAGTTAGTAACTTCATAAGCGCACCGCATTTCAGACATACTCATGCCACCCACAATGAATACAATCAGCCTGGGAACGTTTTTTACTTGCGCCTGGGCCTTGTCCTTGTGCCAATGGCCATAACGGGCACTAGTAGGCGCATGATAGTTCGTATTTTGTGCCCTACCTTCAAGAAAGGGGAAATGTCGTTGATCGAGCTTATCCTCAATGCAATCCTCCATTATGTCCTTGATTACGGGCGTCCAACGAGACATCTGATAGGTGCTTTCGGTTATTCGTTCTTTGCGCGGCACTGAATATACCTTTTTGCGAGACTAAAATATAAAAAATTTAACATTTTTCATCTTTTCCGTAGATTACTCACATCAGCAATGACATTGATTCCCAGGTAGCTTAAATTGCGAATCATATCTTGATCTTTCGGAGACAACTGGGCATGCGTGAAGAGTTTAGTCAAATTTTCCTCCGAAATCCCATTTTTGATCATCACATAAAGGGCAATTATGCGAACTTTATCGTAGTTAGAAACATTCTAGAACAGGGTTTTAGATAGATCATAAACAATATAAATAATTGGAGCTTACCGCATCCAATAATATGGGCACAATATTCCGCATATGGTCCTTAATTTTTTCGCCCTCGGCATCAGTACCCATCGCCAAGTCTTGTTCAACACGACATAGCTTGTCCACATAGTTTTGATAGGATTTCATGCAGTCCTCGGCCAAATGCAAATGAGTTGAGTACTTTGACAGCTCCTTTTGATATTGCGGCATCTTTTTGATCATTTGAGATAAATCGCGCATTGAGGACTTATCAGCTGTATGCGAAAAATGGAAACATTTTGAGTGATTAATGATGAAAAATGTTATGAAAGACTTACTGGAACTCATCCGCTTTGAGTCGGTAAACTTTTTCAAATTCTGCGTAACCTGTGTTGACACGACTGCAATATGCTCGTGGCGCAACTCTACCCACAAGTCGTCGTTCTCATCCAGTAAAACCTCCTTCTCAGGTTGGTTGGGTCCTGGAGTATAGCGGTACACATCGTTAACAATTGGTAGTAAATCATAGGCCATAGCCTGAAGTGTAAGCTCATGTAAAAACGGTGACACACAATCGAAGCCACGATCCAAAATAAGCAATTGGGAACGTGCTTTTTCCGGCCCTTCGCCCATGGTCGGCTCGTCAGCCTTGTAGGCGTCCAGTTTTTGCTGAATCGAAGCAGCCAGATCGATATTTCGATCCCAGTCGCTCCTGTAGCGAACGTTAGGATATTCGCCCAAAGTTGCACACAATGTGGCAATTTGCTCGGCAATGCGCTCGATGTGCTTGTTTCGAATGGAAGAAAATGCCGGTGAATATAAGCACTGGAACGTGTCCGGTGAGTCCAGCGAATAGACCTGAGTAGGGAAAAATCGATATTATTAAGAGAACATTTGAAAGTAAATGTTTATTTAAGTAAGCATAGGAGTTACAGATTATATGTAAGTTTGAAGAACGGTTAAACCAATGATTTGTATTAACGTAAATATGTATTTATGTAGATCCCTCCATGAATCCACAGTAAACTAATTTTGATGGCGTATTATGATTCAGATTTTGTATTACTTCAGTGATACATCCGAATCCTGCCGACCCCAGCATGTACATATGTACAAAGATTAAGGTAAACGTAAAAATTGATCGTTTAGTACTTTTTTTTCTGGTAGAAAGAAAGAAATAATAATATACATAGCAAGTTTTCATTTTGCCTGATTCGCCTTCCAGCATAACATAACATTCGTACCATATTTCTCTTAATAGTCCATATATTCCGTAGCGTTCCAGTAAAGCAATAAGATTTCTGGGTTCTTATCTTTTTTGTAGTTTTATATCTTCATACTTAAAGCAACTTGTTTTACCATTTTTAAATTACACTTAGCCGTGTCGAATCGTGTTAGAAGTTATGCTTTTACATACACAAACATAATAAAATAAGTATAATAAAACAAAAAAAAGAGAGTGTATGCGTGTTAAAATTTTGTTTGCGAAAAAAAGGACCCTAGTGTGCATGTTGAAATTATTCTCAGCCTAATACCGAAGGGTATTTGCATTTAGATTCGCAGTTTTAGACCCATAATCGAGTTATTGCCAACGATAGTCTTTTTCAATCCTTGACAGCAGAATGAACCCTATTAAAGATATTTTGATTTCTGGAAATAGAGCCAACCAAATTGTAAAGGAACGAACAAAAGATGTATACAATATTATATATAATATACATACATATATTATATTATAAATATTATTATGCATCCTTGAATTTATTCAAAATCATGCAAAAAACTTATGTATGAATGTACACAGCAAACTGTATTTTAATTGTAGCCCAGAATGTAGCAGAATACAATGGACGGTTTGAGGTGTGATTAGAAATAAATTTAACTTCTATATCTATATACAGTGGGCTGCAAAAGTGAGTACATACTCACAATCACTGACTTTAGCCTCCCATAACAGGCAAACGAATAAAGCCAAACAAACCAAATTTGTTCCCCATATAAATACTTGTATTCTTAAAAAATAAACAATAATTACAAGAACGAGTAAAAATTTTTCAAAGAATGAAAAGTAAAAAACCAAAAGAACTCGCATGTACTCGGTTTTGCACTTTTTCATAAAAATTAAAGTAAATCATAATATTAACATTTTGCGCATAGACCCATATTAGATTTTACTTTTTTAATACGGTTTGGAATGTTCTCTATCAAATTCCCAAAAATATCTTTTGAAATAGGATTGCACTCCGCATCTATACATCCCCAGAGATCGCCTTGGTTAGATGGCGCTGATTCGTAGTGCTCAAGCCGTCGTTTCACGATTGACCGTAGGCTTTCAATCGGATTAAGGTCGGTTCTTTGAGATAACCACTCCAGCAATTTAAAATTTTGATTAACCAGTCATTCTCGAACATTTTTCGCAATTTGCTTCGGATTCCTGTCTTGTAAACAAGTTAGTTAAATTCAGGATAAATACATTTCTCCGGAAAATTAAGAAGTTAGGCTTGTAGAAGTTGTAAATAGTCCTCTCTGAACTGAATAACATACATTTTTTGTAGAGGACCAACGTGCTACCATGTAAAGCAACTTCAGACCATAATATTTGAATATTTCATATTATTCCTTATTACTACTACTACTTATTACTACTACTACCAAGGCGATCTCTGGGGATGTATAGATGCGGAGTGCAATCCTATTTCAAAAGATATTTTTGGGAATTTGATAGAGAACATTCCAAACCGTATTAAAAAAGTAAAATCTAATATGGGTCTATGCGCAAAATGTTAATATTATGATTTACTTTAATTTTTATGAAAAAGTGCAAAACCGAGTACATGCGAGTTCTTTTGGTTTTTTACTTTTCATTCTTTGAAAAATTTTTACTCGTTCTTGTAATTATTGTTTATTTTTTAAGAATACAAGTATTTATATGGGGAACAAATTTGGTTTGTTTGGCTTTATTCGTTTGCCTGTTATGGGAGGCTAAAGTCAGTGATTGTGAGTATGTACTCACTTTTGCAGCCCACTGTACATATGTATGCATACATATACACCTAATTCTGTTTGTACGAAGTATTTTTACATATTATATTTAACACAGTTTAAACAAAATAAAAATTTCCATTTAGCACGATTCAAAATAACACAACACAAATAAATAAAAACACACACGCTCACAAACAGCCAGAAACCATTCGAAAAAACGGACGTGTCGCCGTAAGAAATTTCCTTCACATTGATTTATTTAGATAAAATTTGTATTCATATCTTATTTGCGGTCCCTGGTTATAACTTACATTTTGACATTAATATCAAAAATATGTGACCTAAATTTATTTCATATGAAATGTATACATACATAAGTACATATATATAAAAAACGAGTGAAAAATGTATGGGACTATATAAGGCCCAGCTGGTCCGATTTCGCAAAAATTTAGTTTTGGTTGTTCGTATTTGCCAGGAGAAGGTTTTTACGAAAGAAAATCAACGGTTCATATTTGCCAGAAGGTTTTTACGAAAGAAATATTTTGGGAAAGCCCCACCGCGAAAATTGTAGAGACTGGTTATATCTAGCAGATTACTGAATCTGAATCAGATCGGATTAATAATATAGCCAAAAGTAACAAATCAATTTGCAGTGGCTACCCAACGTACCCAGCGCGCTGGGCCCAGCTGCGACTTACGTTTTTCCTCGTTTTTTCTTCAGTATGGCCGCTAAACCGTTAAAAAGTACCAAATTAAAAAATACATATTTCTAAATATGTATATGACGACTCGTATGATATATGTACAACCATTCTAAATAAATAAAGCATACACCCAGCGACAAAATAAAAAGCCGCACTCTAGAATTTTATGCATTTTTATACCCGATACTCAAAATGAGTATTGGGGTATATTAGATTTGTGGTAAAAGTGGATGTGTGTAACGTGCAGAAGGAATCGTTTCCGACCCCATAAAGTATAAGGAATAAGGCATAAGGAATGTGCCGAAAAGAAACTGCACACTTTGTTTTTCTTATAACTTCGATGTTTTCGTTTCGATTTCAATTTTTATTTTTTTTTTAATTTTAGAGAAAAACATTAACTTTCAATTTTGTTAATAAATTTAAAAAAATGTCTAGCCTCTTATTTTTGATCGAATTTTTGTGCTTAACACCGCTCATTAAGTTCTGCCAACACTCTTTGGTAATCCTACTGGTCGCACGCATCCAGTTTTTTTTTCATATCTTCCATGTTTTCGGAGAGACTACAATCCTTCTTTAAATTTCTTTTAACTAATGCCCAATATCGCTCAATTGGCCGGAGCTCTGGGCAATTTGGTGGGTTCCCCTCTTTTGACACGAAATTGATGCCTTTTGAGTCAAGTAGCGCTAAAGTTGAGCGGGCATAGTGCGCGGACGCCAGATCTGGTCAAAATATTCTTGACACATTGTGTTTTTCATAAAAAGGTATAAGACGCTTTTTCAAACACTCCTTCATGTACACATCGGCGTTGAATGTCCCTTTTGTGAAAAAAGCACTGATTCTTAGGCCACAGATGCAAATGGCCTGCCATATTAGCACTTTCTCCCCAAATTTATCGACTTGAATTGTTGACACCGACTCGTCAACAGTTCCACCTTTAACTTTTGTATAAAACTCAGAGCCGGGTAAAGTTTTCGAGTCCAATTTGACATAAGTTTCGTCCATAATAACGCATTGAACTGCATCATTGAGCAAGCTTTCATAAAGCTTTCGCACTCTCGTTTTGCCGACTTCTACTTGTCGCATACTTTTTTTCGGAACTTTTTATTTTTTGTATGTCTATAAATTATGGCGTTGCTTTATTCTTTGAACCATACTCATACTTGTTCGCGCTTTTTTTGCCAATTCTCGAACGGACATCGTGTTATGTTTGTGGATTAAGGCTAATACTTTTTCATCAATATTTTGATCCCTTGGACCCTTTTTTCTCCCAGTTTTTGGTAAATCTTTTAAAGAACATGTCTCTCCAAACTTAATTATAATATTTTTTACACTATTAACACTAACTTTGTAGCGTTTAGCTAATTGTCTGTAAGACACACCTTTTTCTGTGCAATAATTATAATTATTATTATAATTATAATTATAATTGTGCACAATTTTTTTGCGAACTTGCTCTTTAATTCGAGGCATCGTTGAAACTGATAAGCGAATAGTGAAAAAGGAACATGCAAACAACTCAGAATTTCTCAAGCTTTCTAACGGTGCATCGAACGGCATGATCGAAAGCCCGCACTGCGAGAAATTGACGATTGTAAGTGTGCAGTTTCTTTTCGGCACATTCCTTATATATTCTTGAACAGCATCAATAGCCGAGTCGATTGAACCCTGTCTGTCTGTCCGTCCGTCCGTCTGTCCGTCGGTATCAGCGCCTAGTGCTCAAAGATTATAAGAGCTAGAGCAACGACGTTTTATATCCGGACTTCTGTGATATGTCACTGCTACAAGTATATTTCAAAACGTTGCCCCGCCCACTTCCGCCCCCACAAAGGGCGAAAATCTGTGGCATCCACAAATTCAAAGATACGAGAAAACTGGAACTGGAAAACTGAGTCAGATCGTATAATTATTATAGCCAGAATCAAGAAAAAATTTCATTCTTTCTCGCTCTGTCTCTCTCTAACACACAGGTTTCATGGTCGGTTTTGCCAATTGCAAAATATGAGTTCAAGGATCTCAGAACCTATAAGAGCTAGAACAACCAAATTTGGTATCCACACTCCTGTGATATCGGACCTTGACCGTTTTGTGTCAAAATTTCGCCACACCCCCTTCCGCCCCCGCAAAGGTCGAAAATCTGGGGCATCCACAAATATCAGAGACTATTA